ATGTAAATTGGTGCAGTCATTATAGGAAAAAGTATAGCGGTTCCTCAAAAAATTAAAAATAAAGCTACCATATGATCCAGTAATCCCACTTTGGAAATAATATCCAAAGGAAATGAAATCAGCGTCCTGAAGAGACACAGTGGACTCCCTTCTCCATAGGGGGTACATTCTCAGATCCCCATAAATGCCTGGAAGTATGGACAGTACTGAACCCTATCTATACTGTTTTTTCCTATACATACCTATTATGATAAAGTTTAATTTATAAATTAGACACTGTATGAGATTAACAAACATAACTAATAATAAGAGTGATTATAACAATATGCTGTCATCAAAATTATGTGACTATGGTCTCAAAATACTTTATTGTATGTAATATTTTGGGGCCTCAGTTGACTACAGATAACTGAAACAATAGAAAGCCAAACTGCAGATGAGTAGGGATTATTGTATCTGTACCCCTGTGTTCACTGCAGCATTATTCTCAATAGTCAAGATAATGAAACAACCTAAATGTCCACCAATGGATGAGATTTAAAAAATGTGGTTTATATGTGCATGTGAGAGCATGTGCACACAAGCCCACGTGGATGAAATACTATTCAGCCCTCACAAAAGAAAATCTAACATTTGCAACAACATGGATAAACCTGGAGGGCATCATGCTAAGTGAAACAAGCCAGACACAAAGACAAATGCTGTATGACCTCACTCATGCGGAATTTTAAAAAGTGAAATCCATAGAACCAGAGAGTAGAATGGTGGTTATCAGAGCTGGGGGTAGAGAAATGGGGAGATGTTAGTCAAAGGGTATAAACTTTCATTTATAAGAGGGATAAGGTCTGGGGATCTAATGTGCAGTTCATTATACTTGAAGTTTGCTAACAGAATAAATCTTAAGTGTTCTTAACACACACACAAAGGTATGTGTGGTAATAGATGTGTTAACTCACTTGGTTATGGTAACATTTCTCAATGTATGTGTATATTAGACCATCACATGTACATCTTTTAAAAATCATGTTGTAAAATCTAACTATATACAATTTTTATTTGTCAGTCATACCTCAATAAAGCTGGGGAGAAAATAAAAGCTATAAGAAAAAGAAAATTTATGTTCATTATTTGGATTCCATCCCTGAGTACAGTTAAGAGGCAGGAATTTCATAGTTGTATGTAGATTTGCATATTCAGTTCTACAGGAACTTTGAGTCTTAGGTGAGTTGGCAATTGAGATAAATTACGAGGGAAAGGCAGAGAGGGAGGTCTAGCATTTGCCACAGCGGTGTGCGTGCTGCAGTATGACAGGTCTGGGCTTAGGGTTCAGACCAAGGCAAGTATATGATCCTGCCACTTTCCTCCATTTAACACATCATGTTCCAGGAAATGATTAGCTGAGACAGACTTTTTGAATTTCATTTTTCTCAGTTGGAAAAGAAAAGCATTATGTACCTCATTGGGACTGGGATACAGTATAAGAAAGATAATTAGAACATCCGCTCCATATCTGAGCAGGTAGGGCTCTCAGGACCTGAATTTCCATCCCTGCCTGGTTTCACTTAGTTCCTGATAAGCCTGGCACTTATCTTGGTGCACACTCGGTCTGGGGCACTGCATTGGCACCAAGCTTGTTTTGTCTTCTGCAGGACTATGTGCCAGGCACACAGCACTCTCACTGGGAGTACACTGGGGCAGAGAACACAATGGAAGCAGGAACAGCTTCTCTGAAGGCTGACTTGGCATGACCTGGGCTGGTAATGGGAAGCAGAAGCCACTGAAATATGGAGTACTTGATGAAACCCATGTTGCGGCCCTGGTGATCTTTCCACCAGCCTTAACAGCTATTAAGAAGCTCTGTTCAAATATTCTGTATGCAGAGGGAATGGGCAAAAATTAGTTTATCTTTGCCACCAAAGACACATGGACTGTATTTCTTTCACTGAAGAAACACTCTTTCCCAGGAACTTTCTGGGCACACTCAGCCCTTTTTGGGAAAGAATTCCTTGAGAATGGGCTTCCAGGTAACCTGCCTTTCTCCCCTCTAGGGCTATCGAGCACACCACTAGTCCATTACAAGCGACCAAAACTGGCACCAACCTGATTAAGCAGAAAAGGAATTAATTAGCGAACTAGGCCTGACCTGAGGTGAAGCTTCCAGGAATGCTACCCAGAACCAAACTGCAGAAGCAACCCAAGAAGCAAGCTGCTGCTTGTGTGTGTGTGTTAAGAACACCTAAGATTTATTCTGTTAGCAAACTTCAAGTATTATGAACTGTTGGCAAACTTCAAGTATTATTCAGCCCTTAAAAAGGAAATCTAGCATTTGCAACAACATGGATAAACCTGGAGGGCATCATGCTAAGTGAAATAAGCCAGACACAAAGACAAATACTGTATGACCTCACTTATATGTGAAATTTTAAAAAACCCCAGAGCACTTGGGGTTGTACTTGTGTGGTGGCCGGAGCCCCCAGCCTATGACTGTCACTGCAGCTGGTGCAAATGTGACTTGCTGCTTTGGGATGCAAACTTGCCACCACAGCTGACCCCCAAAGCAAGTCCAATGCTCTTGCACCATCTTCCCTTGAGAAACTTGCATTTTTCTTCTTGACAAAAACTTGTTTGTCATCTGCAACTCAAAGTCCTGTCCTGGTGCCCCTGACCAGTAAACTATACACCACAGGCTTCTAACACATGTTTTTTAGCTCCCATCTGGGTAAAGCAAGACTCCTAAAGTGGTAAATTTTCTAAGCATTAGGACAGATATCAAAATAGCCAAAAAACATGTGAAATGTCTATTTTACACTCTGGTTGTGGGCTCTTGTCATCTTCCAAGTTCTGTCCTCTCCCACCGGGTGGACCCAAAGAGGCACACGAACCATGGGAGGGGCACATGGGGATTCAGATGGGTCCCTTTGGGTAGTGAGCAACAAGAGGTCGCTGCCTGGGTTTGGGAACCCAAGGGTTGCTTAGGACAATGACACCAGGGCACGGGAGCCCTTGAGGAGGCCCCTTCTTAATGAGGCATACAAGATATTAGACCTGTGGGAGCATGTAGAGAGGGTCCCAAACTCAAACACCCACTAGGAGGAGCCAAGCACATAAGTGAGCAAAGAACAAGAGGGGATGGTGGTTCTGGAAATGGAACCATTTTCAAAATGGAAAATACCATTTTAGGCATTAACATTGGAAATTTTACAGTGTGTCAGTATTGAGAAGCATCTGGAAGTTGTTTGGAAGGGAGTGGAGGATGGGGAGTTGACTAGACTGGAGCATGAGGGAACTTTCTGGGTGATGGAAATATTCTGCCTCTTGCTTTCATTGGTGGTTACTCAGTGTGTACATTCATCAATTAAACTTCATCAAATACTTGAGATCTGTGCATTTTACCATCTAATAATTATTCCTCAATTTTGTACTTGAGCAAGGTAGTAAAGTAGTATATTTATAAAGTGATTTGGCTTTCGGTCTATCCATATAGAATCAGGGACCCTGAGGGACTAAGTGATATTTTTTTAAGATTTATTTTTTATTTATCCAATAACTGGGTTACAGGCCAGAGGCACGGGAGGATTCACCAGAGACAGAGTGGGGAGCAGAACAGGCAGAAGGGGCAATGTACACTGCTGAGGGGAACAGAGGGTGAGACAGGAGAGGTCCGCTGCACCATGTGGGTATCTCCCTGGCTGGCCGGGAATTGAACCCGCGCTGCAGAGGCTGCGGACAGCTTCACAGCGCTGCGCTCAACCCGCTGCGCCGCCGGGGAGGCCCGGGACTAAGTGATTTTGCCCAGAGCGCAGGCGAACCCTGACTACCCAGAGCTGGCGGGTGGGTCCAGGGCAGGCAGGGGTGGTGGCCCGCAGCGGCGTCCAGGGGGCCGCATCTTGTGCAAACTCACTCCCTCGCTAACACAGCCTTTCCGCGGGCAGTGCCCAGGGACCAGACAGACGTCTGCCCCGGCCCGAAAGTGAGACGGCCACCTCGGGCTGGCGGGGAGACGAGCGGAAGCGAGGGGATCGCCTGGCCCAGGGAGCACCAGCCAGTCGCGCAGACAAATCACGACTCCACCTGCACTGACTGTGCGGCATGGGCACTGAGTGCCAACTGCCAACGCAGACAGCCAAGTGCTGGGAAAAGAAATCCGAGCCCCGCGAGGTGGCTGCGGTGCAAAGTGAACCCCCTGCGGAGGCGGGCAGGGGCGGGCAGGGGCGGGGGGGCCGCCAGCGCAGACAGCCGGCGCTCCGGGGGCGCCTCGGGCACTTACCCAAGTCTCACCTGGCCACCAACCTGCCCACGGAGGCTGGGGCATCTCCTCCCCTCTGGCGGGAAAGCAAGGCTCATCGCGGCTTCAGGGAGCTGTCTGAGGACTGAGTTGGGGTTCCCAGCCTGATTTGGTTGTCGGACACCAGACCCCGGCTCCTTGCTCGCCCCTCCCCGGGGGCGCGGGCGTCTTTGCAGGAGGGACTCCAAGCCCGCCGCAGAGCAGGAGCGCCCGGTGGCCAGCGGGGGCTAGTCCCGAGGACGCCCGAGGAGGAAGCCGCGGGCGAGACGGGCGCCCGGGAGGGGGTGCGGAGCGCTGGGGCCGCATCCCGGAGCTGAGCGACCCGCCGGGCCCTTCCGGACGCTCAGCCCGGCCCTCCCGCCGGCGCCCGAACTGATTGGCGCTCGCGGCGGGCCTCCCGCTCGCTCACCTGCCCCTCCCAGCCAATCGGGGACACCAGAATTGGGGCTGCCGCGGGGAGGGGGAGGGATGCTGCTGCTGGAGGAGTTCCCGCCGGGCCCGCCCTGATGCCGAGCCCGGCCGCAGGCTGCTCACCCCTCGCTCCCGGGCGCCGCGCCCCGACCCCCAAGCGCCTTAACGCTTCGCCTCCCGACCCGGCCACTCCGCCTCCCTGAAGACTGGGGCTCGCCCCGACGGCGCCCCCAGCCTCCCGCAGACACCGCCTCGCGCAGCCTCCCGCCCCGAGTTCGCTCCCGCTCAGCCCCGCGCCCGCGCCGCCCGGGGAGGGGCTGGGCCGGGTCCCTGGCTGCCCGGCCGTGGCAGGATGTTCACGTCCAAGTCCAACTCGGTGTCGCCCTCACCGTCCCTGGAGCAGGCTGACTCGGACGCCCTGGACATCAGCACCAAAGTGCAGCTCTATGGAGTGCTGTGGAAGCGGCCCTTCGGGAGGCAGTCGGCCAAGTGGTCCCGCCGGTGAGTGTGCCCCGTGCCGCGTGGCACCGGCTGGGGAGGGAGCGCAGGGCCTGAAGATCAAGCCCTTCTCATTGCCTTCATCACCTCAACTGCTTCTGCCTTCCTTTGTGACCTTGGCCTCACCCCCATTTCACTCGACGCTCACCCCACCCCCCGGAAAATTTGGCTCCCAACCTGGGCTGGGGTCATCTCTGTCTGAGGGCTGTGAACTGGTTTGGAACCACTGGCCAGGGGTGATGGTGAAGTCTCTGTGGAACTGATGTAAATCAGAGTGGGGAGGCGCGCATGGATGCGGCTGAAGAGGTCTTGATTGGGTTAGAATCCCAGCTGGGTCCGCTTGGGCCAAATTCTACCACTGAGGAAGCGGCTTCTCTCCAAAGTCACCCTCCTGGAGCCCCCACTGCTAATTCCCTTCTACTTCAGCTGCTCCTCCTGGCTGGGAGCAGCAGGCTTAGAGGTGGGGCTTGGTGTCCTACCTCCCATCTTCCCCATTCTGTTTACCCAAATGCAGTGGCATTGAGTGAGCTGGGCTGCACGCAGGCCCTTGGAAAGTCTCAGGCCAGGGGAGGGAACAAGGGCCCGGAAGGTTCTGTGCCCGCTCCTGTGGGAATGATCTTGGCAATCCCTCTAACTGTCCCTTGAAATAATTTTAAAAACCTGGCCTGAGGTTTAGGAATGCCAGTGGTGCGGGCAGAGAGGAGGCTCTAACCCTGGGTGGGATGGAGCAGAGCTAAGGGGTGGGGCTGTTGGAAGGGGTGGCTGGGAGGGTCACAGCAACTGGAGGCCTGTCTTTCAGCACTAGCTTCCCCGTTCCCATCTCAGAGGAGACTCCCCAGATGGTCAGTAGAAGCTGCCACTTATAAGTAGGGTTGAAAGATGTAGGAGAAAGGGGGCACTCACAGCCCTGACTTTTCAGCTGCTTTGGGGCATTATCTGGGCAGTTTTTACCCTCAAGCCAGTCTGGCTTCTGAGATTTGCTACAGGAATGGTCTGCAACTGAGAGCCTGATCCTGACCCTCCCTGGAGGTGTGACCCTGCCTGCAAACTAGGAGTATGTGGAGACCCCCCTCCCCCACCCACACTGATGTGCTCCTGAGCAGGAGGCCCTCAAAATTTCCCAGAACCATGGACCTCAGGGGATGTGGTGGTGGTTGGCTGTGATGTTCTATTTTAGTGAATAATTTACTATTTCTACAAGACCACAGAACAAATGGAATTGCGGACAGTGTTTCATGTTTTCCATAGCTGGCTTCACAGCCGCTGTTCATTCTGCCAGGTTTCCCTCTGGGATTGGGTGGGATATAGGCTCCTTGAGTTCCTCCAGGTTAAACTCATCTCAGATCCCCTAAATGGAGGTTTATGGCAGCGGAAGAGGAGCTTGTGAGAGGCTTCTAGGCTGTGCTGTCTGAGCCATACCTCCCAGGGGCAGCCTTGTCTCTCCTAGGGCAGAGTTGGGGTGGGAAGGCCGCTTGTAGGTTCAAGTGCCATCTGCAGAATGTCCCCCTACCCCGACGCCTCGGCTGCTCCGGGCAGCCAACACTCTTCCACTGGACCTGGCTGCTGCCCTTGGCATTGTGTCTGGGTCTTGATATCCAAGACTTTCTTGCCAGGCGTTTTCACCTGATTGCATCCACAATAAGTGCTAGGGGGTTTATTGGGATAAATGTGATCCCCAGCGTATGTCTTCTAGCCCCCTTCACCCACAGTTATGAGGATGTGACCTCTAATCTCACAGATAACTAGGACAGGAGGTATCAGAGGCAAAAACTCTCAGCCGAAAGTACGCTGGTGGAGCCAAGGAGTCTTGGAGAGCTTTAGCGCCCCACCCCCACCCAAGAATCTCCATCAGTAGCTTCACTCAAAAACCTGTCTAATCTAAGTGTACATGCCCTGAAACACAGGTCCAAGTCAAGCCCTCCACTCCCTTTCTAAGGAGATTGTCACCTCCAGTGACAATTGGAGATTGTCACCTCCAGCTCCAGGAATTCTGGAGCTGCCAGTGTGCAGGGCCCCCTCCCCTAAAGCTAAGAAAAGAACCACTACCCAGTGCCCCACACTAGGCCTCTGTCAGTGTTCACAGTTCTGGGAATACACACACACTTTAGCCTTGGGTCAGTGACAGCCATCCAGAGGGGGCCTGGGGGTGGGGAAGGCACGATGCTTTTCTTAGCCCCCTCTTACTTCCCAGCAGAGTCCTCTGAGTCCCAGTCCCCCATTTGTGAAATGGATCTCTGGACCTCAGCTAATTAGTGGCCACAGGAAGGCTTGGGGAGGGGGCAGCTCGGGCCACTCACTGCAGAGCCTCGCCATTAGGGCGATCGATGCCCTAGCTGGGCGGCTAAGGGGAGGGGTCTGGAAAGACTCCTGAGCTGCATTAATAACCAATGGACTGGATGGGACTGGCTGCCGCTGGTTAGGTCCTAGGAAACCTCTCCTGCTCAGGGCTTGTGCCCTGCTGCCTGGGCAGCCCTGCCCTTCCTTGGGTGGGACAATGCCCTTGAGCTAAGGCATCTGTTTTTTCTCCATGGACACCAAAAGGGGAAAGGAATCAAAAACATTACTTAGCAGAGATAAGAGGATCTGGGGGAGAGGTCCAGTGGGTAAAGATGCAGTCGAGAGGCGGGTGCTGTTGGCAGCTCACACCCCACAGCTCAGAGACCAGGAGGGAAGTGTGGTCTCGGGCTTGGCCCATGTGGGCCCTGTGGTGGGGCTGGTGAAAGAACAGCCAGGCAAACTGTTCCCAGGGTTTAATCCTTCCTCCAGTATTCTTGACCCTCTCCCAGGTCCCTCTGAGCCGCTCCTAGGACTGGAACCCTGACGTGGAGCCTCTTTCCTGCACTCCTTCCCCCGAGCTGTAGGGTGGCTGGTGGTCTGAGCCCAGCCCAGCAGCAGTTCCCTCTTGTGAAACATCAGGGGTCCCTTGACCAGGGACCCAAATTTCACAAGGTCCACCTGTGGCCAAGGGAGCCATGGAGATGGCGGCGCTCCCCCCAAATCTCAGGCCATCACCTGCACAGGGGAGAAAGGTGATCCTACAGTTGGTGGTCACCGTGCTGCAGGGATCTGGGGCCAGGAACTTGACCTTTGACCCTGAGCACCACTTCCTAGAAGTCACTCTGCAAGACTGAGTGTCCCAAAGCACTGAGAAGAGCCTCCCGTGTCATCCCCAGCACCAGGCTCAGCCTTACACAGGCGGCACTGGGGACTGATCTTACTTTCTGGCTCTCAGAGCCTCCCCCACAGCTGACCGTGCACGAGTCCTCCCAACGCAGCTGTGGCTTCCCTGCTGGTCATGTTACAACTGGGCGTGACCTGAGACCCTCCTTTATAATCCACGGTGTTCTCCCCACTTGTTCTAGAGTGACAGCATGGGGGAGTGGGTGGTGAGGCGGCCGCTAGTAATCTCCCCAGATCTCTGTCCACCACTCGTGGCCCTCCCGAGGGAGCAGCATTGAGGTTGCTCTGAGTCCTCAGGTAAAGGCCAGGGCCACCGGCTCTGGCTCATCCAGCTGTAAAAGAAGAAACACTCGTTCATTCAGCCTTCATCACGGTCAGCGTGACTCACCTGGACGAAGTCTGTCCAAGTTCCTGAGTTAATGGTGCAAACAAATCACACTTCTTCCTCTCCCGCCTCCCCCAGAGTTGCTTTAGAGGCCACTGATGTTCTGTTTGAAAATGTCTCATCTGCTAAGGGGCCAGGCCAAAGCAGAACACTTGAAGGCACTTGTGCCCAGGACTTGGAAAGAATAAAGCCGTTTCTATTGAGAGTAGCTTGTGGCTATGGTGGAAAGTGACCCAGGAGCTCTGAATTCCAGTCCCAGCTCTGTCGGGGACCAGCCGCATGACCCAGATGGCGGCGTGTCCCCCCCACTGGCTGGGTGTGGCTCCTCTACAAAATGGGGGTGGATTGAATTGTGGTTTTCAAATTGTGCTCCACAGATAATTCTATTTTTTTTTTTTATTTTATTTATTTTTTTTTTATAGAGGCATGTTTTATTTATTTATTTTGTTTGTTTGTTTGTTTTGTTTATACATGCACTGGGTACAGTCAGAAGTGCGGGAGGGTGAGAGAATTCACCAGAGCCAGAGCGGGGAGCACAGCAGGCAGAAGGACCGAAGTACACTGCTGAGGGGAGCAGCGGGCGACAGGAGAGGTCTGTGCGCCATGTGGGATCCTCCGCCGGTGGCCAGGAAGCAGCCGGGGATCGAACCGGCGCCGCAGAGGCCGCGGGCAGCTTCGCAACCCAGCGCTCAACCGCTGCGCCACCGGGGAGGCCCCCACAGATAATTCTAAACCTGCCTTGATTCCAGCATAAGAAGGTGGAGATGAGGAAGTGGGGCTTCAAGGTCCACACCCAGCATCTCTGTCCTATTATCCATTTTATATATGAAGCTTGTTTGTGCTGTACTGTGAAGAATTACTGCTAACAATTTTTTAAATACCCTTGGATTTGACAATCTGTTCATAAACTAACCTTTCAACACTCCTGCACATCACATGTGGGATTCCTGCCATCTACCATCTCAGACCTAACTCAAGAAAAGTTCATCGTCAGGAAGAGTATCCCCTGAGCATGCCCGGTCACCCAGAATGGGCCAAGGACACACTTTGGGGATCACATCATCTCTACCTTCCTTCTGCCACTTCTGAAAAGGACGCTTCTGATGAGCTGCTCTTCCTTGGCTCTCGGAGGCACCTAGTGGCAACCCCACACACTGTTCTCAGTGTTTGAGAGGGGCTCAAGGCTAGTCCTTTTCTAGAACTTTCAGTCTGGGGAAGCAAGAGCATCCTCCTTCCTGCAAAATGTAACCCATGGTTAGTTCACACCCCCACTGTCCTCTTGAGAGTAAAATAAGTTTGGCCCAAGGTCTAATCTCACATCTGAGCAAGTCTAAAACTTGCCCCAGAGTTTCTGCTAATCCTCGAGAGGCTCTAAACATGGTTCCTTGTTCACAGAGTAATTTGCTGATCCCCACAACCAGATGTGGGGCTCAGCTCA